AAAAAAAAAGATGAAAAATAAATCTTTTTATACCATTTTAACTTAAGATATTTTCGTGTTTTAAAAGTAATTTTTTTTAATTTTTTTTTATTAATTTCAAATCAATATATTTTTAGTATTTTTAAATTATTTTGATGTATTAATATTAAAAATAATTTTTAAAAAATAAAAAAATATATTATTAATCTGTATTTTAAAACAAAAATTATTTAAAAAATAATTATAACCACACTAAAATAAGCTAGTATGATAGGAATTACTATCTCTCCTAGGCTTTTATTTTAAAAGTATATAAAATTTCAGAGATAAAATTATTTAATATCTCTGTTTTTATTTTTATATTTTCAATAAAAAAATCCATATATCTTTTCTATATATATATATATATATAAAAGACTGAGATAGAATTGATTTTATATATATCTTGTGTTTAGTTATTATTTTAAAATAAAAAATATATATAAAATTGATTTTAATATTTTAAAATCAATTTTATTTTCCATGTTAAAATCAATTTTATATATATCTTTTATTTTAAAATAATAACTAAACACAAGGTATATATAAAATCAATTCTATCTCAGTTTATATGTGTGTATCCGTATACATGGAAAAAAAAGAAGGTAAAATTCACCCACAAACTGAAAATAAAAAACCACATCAGCAATAGAACTATTAAACAATTTTAAAATCCATACTTATTTTATATCAGTCATAATTCAAACAAAATAACTAAATTAGTTACCTTATATTAAAAAACATAAATAAATAAAATAAAATTAACAATTTAAAATACACCTATACACACCCTCACTTGCCAAACAAAAATCCTATTTCTCTCTGCACCATCTTTTCTCCGTTTTTCACTTCATTTCTCCCACCCTCTCCTCTCTCGTTGCGCCTCCACACTGTTCTATGCGCGCCCCCCTCCTCTTCCACCAACGCAACCACCGCAGTGACAACCACAACCATTCTCCACCACCACACCACCGAGCTGGATTCTCTCTCTTCTCTCCTACGCATCTCCATGCGCCGCTGGTTCAGCGGTTTCGTTGATTAACCCCCTCCCTCCCTCTGTAAATACACACAACCGCCGCAAAAACTCCCACTCTCTCTTCTGATTCCAAAAGCGATATCGTTTCATCACTTCCGAAAGCTAGGGTTTCGAAAACAAATCTCCATTTCCTAAAAAATCTGTACATGCTATTCTTGTTTTTTAGGGATTTGGATGGCATTGGGAGAGTTAACGGCGTCAAGATTCTCCTCACAATCATCAGTTGCTTTGGTTTCCAACCATTACGATGATTTTCCGTCAAGTCACGGAGACGACGCTCTTGATTCAGCAAGAAGAGATAATAACAGTGATACTAATCATAATTGCAGCAGCAGCAGCAGCAATAATAATAGAGATAGAGATTCTGATACTGCTAGCACTAGTAATTACGGCGGAGGCAATGCGACGACAGGAAGTACAGCCGCGACGACGACTAGTATGGCGTATTTGCCTCAGAGTGCTGTTTTGAGTGAGCTTAGACATGAGGCATTTGAAGCTTCAGTGCCTACTGGTCCGTCTGATAGTGGACCTGTTTCAAAATGGCGGCCGAAGGACAGAGTAAGATGCTGTGTTGTTGAAATTTAGTGTTTGATTGAATGTGGATGAGTTGTAGGTTTTTTAGGGTTTTTTTGGTTAGGTCGTTTTTTGGGTGGATTTATGATTTTGAAGCGAATTTGGTCGTTTAGGTTTGTTTGTGTAGTTATTAATTGAAAAGGCCTTTTTGAGAAAATAGTTGTGTGAATACAGAATGGAACTGTTGAGGGGAGATGGTATTTTTGTTTGGGTTGTGCAGACTTGTAAATGATTGTTGTGTGATCACCGGAAAATGTGTTCCTTTTGGGGTTTTGAAGGGGTTTTGATTCAATGTAAATAGAAATTGTGGCACTTGATGGTTTTGGTTCTTGTTTCATAGAGGATTGTCTTCAGGACGTGGGAATTTTAACATGGCATCCCTAGAAATGAAGTGTAGTTTATAGAGAAGTACTGATTAGGATTTTGCTGTATTGGTAAAAAGTTTATGCCATCAAATGCGTGACTTTGTATTAGCTTAACAATCAAGTAAGGGGAATTTGGGAGTAGAAATGTTGAAGTGGACGAAAGTAGCGGAAATAAAGATCATGCGACCTCTGACGAGTATGGAGCTTTGTGAGATTTTGAAACAAAGTCAGCTGAGGAAATTTAAGGGTCGCTGTCTTCATGATTTAGCTCTCCATTACATTTTACTTTGGATGAAAAAGTCTTCATTAAACTTTCAAATGGCTAATGAGATTTCAATACTGCAATAAGGTTTGTCATATTGCCCGTGCAACCATCTGTTGTGCATGCCATGCATAACTGAATGTCTGCTGGTAAATTAACATGCTTGGCATTGGTGCTTTGGAGCTAAAACAGTACTAGTTGATTTCTTTTGTGGCACTGTTTATTGTCTTGGGAAAAATGAAAATTTTCTAGAAGGCAACAGTCCAAGCTTGACATCGTGCTAAGATTGGATGATAGGGTACAATGATTGTCCTAATTTTGGCAAATGCTTTAAGATTTTCATAGGGTTGGCCATCTTTTTTCTTTGGGATTCCCATAAATTTTGGCAAATGCCATGAAATCTTGTGAATGACACGTGTGCTTATTAAGAATAGGGTACTGTTTCTATCGCTTGGCATGATTAGAAGAAAATGATTTTGCAAAAACGATAGATCATGGCCTCTGAAAATAGCTTCGTGTAAGGAAATATTGAATGAGTAAGTAGGGAATTTTTTTTTTATGCATTTAGTTGTTACACATTGTGGGATGTTGTTGCCTCAGATTATGCTGTTTGCAAAAGTTCTGTTCCTTGTATTGAATATTTTTCTTTTATTGAGAAGGGCTTTGATGGTAATATATAATTAATCACATCTTTTCTACTTAGTCATTTTTTTTATCATCTCCATGTTGTGCTACTGTGATAAATTTTTGTTCTATATGCTTAGGAGTTATATGCTTACATGTGTTTGTCTTTTGATTTAGATCTTAACTTTTTGTGCAGATGAAGACTGGATATGTAGCTCTAGTTTTATGTTTAAACATCAGTGTTGATCCTCCGGATGTAATAAAGATATCCCCTTGTGCCAGAATGGAATGCTGGATAGGTGCAATTTTAGCTGCTGATTCTCTCTTATTAGTTTTAGATTTTTGCCTTCTCTCTACTCATATTCTGTGCTGCTTTCACTTTAGCTTTTGTTTTGATGTTTGAATCATGCAGTTTTTAAACTTGTTTTAGGAAACTGTTGTGTGGTGCTCAACTCTGTCACTATTGTTTGATTATTATGTTACCATTGGACTCATATGATTCATATGATTGTAATGTTTTGATTGTATGAAAGGAAGCAAAGTTCTAGAATCTGGGAGCTTTCTGAATTTTGCAACACATACTTTAAATCCAATTTACTTACCTATCATCTTATCATTTTGGCAATCAAGTGAAGCATTATTAAGAGTGCTAAGAACAATTTTTTTTTTTTATATATGAATTTAGATCCTCCTTTTTTAGTTTACAATCTCCTCCTTTTTTGACAGATCCATTTTCAATGGCACCTCAAAAAGCTCTTGAAACAATTGGAAAAAACTTAAGCATTCAGTATGAAAGGTGGCAACCTAAGGTGAGGAAATTCTTGACAAATACTGTTTACTTTGAATTATCTCTATAGTTTCATTTGTATTTACGTTATTTCTCTATGACCAGGCCCGCTACAAGGTTCAACTTGATCCCACAGTTGATGAAGTGAAGAAACTTTGTAATACATGCCGAAAACATGCCAAGTCCGAGAGAGTTCTGTTTCATTACAATGGGCATGGTGTTCCAAAGCCAACTGCTAATGGTGAAATCTGGCTTTTCAATAAGGTATTTCTTTTTACTCTTTTAGCTGACAAGTTTCTGCATTTCATGGCTTCAATCCTCTTTCTAAACAGTTTTATATGTAACATGCTAAAACTATCTCGCCTTTTGACTGGTTCAGAGCTATACACAATATATTCCCTTGCCAATCAGTGATCTTGATTCCTGGCTAAGGACACCATCAATCTATGTTCTTGATTGCTCTGCTGCTGGGATGATAGTCAATGCATTTCTAGAGGTATTCGGCAATTGTGCTCTTATAAAATTTCTTACTGTGTATCCATTTGCTGCTGTTCATAAAATTTGATCCCACAATTTTAGTGGTCTGTTTACTATTATTGCTGTTTCTTTTCTTTAAATAGCTTCATGACTGGAGTGCTTCTGGCTCTGCTGGGTCCGTGAGCAATTGCATTCTGCTTGCAGCCTGTGAAGCACATGAGACTTTGCCACAAAGTGATGAATTTCCAGCTGATGTGTTCACTTCATGCCTCACCACTCCTATCAAGATGGCATTGAAATGGTCAGGCTGGTGCCTTTGTTTGGTTTAGTTCTGATTGTTATAATTCATCATTTCTTTTCCTTTCATATAGCAGCTTCCTGGCTTTTGGAAAAGGATTTCCATGTTGCTCTGTGCATAATTACATTTTGTTATTGCCTATGATTGCCCTGTATTATTTTGTTGTTTGTTGGCTTTGTAAGGAATATCTAAGTGCACTATATCATTGTCTTGATATTTGCAGTTTTCATGTGGTTCATACCTGAATTTGTGGTCATTGATGATTTTTGTTTTATATACTTGTTAATCATTTGGTTACTTTGATCCCTGCACTGCAGGTTTTACAGACGTTCACTTCTTTGTGACTCCCTTGACTACTCATTAATTGATAAAATTCCTGGACGGCAAAACGATCGTAAAACACTTCTGGGAGAATTGAACTGGATCTTTACTGCAGTGACAGACACTATTGCTTGGAATGTTCTTCCCCGTGGTAGCTGCTTCTTAGTAAATAATGCCTTTTCGATTTGTCATCTGTGCACTTTGGTACACATAGCTGACGCTTGAATTTTCCCTGCAGATCTTTTTCAGAAGTTGTTCAGACAAGATTTGTTAGTTGCCAGTCTGTTCAGAAATTTCTTACTTGCTGAAAGAATTATGCGTTCGGCAAATTGTTCTCCGATTTCTCACCCAGTGTTGCCACCAACCCATCAGCATCATATGTGGTACTGGAGGAGATGCTCATTTTGTTAATTCTGCAGTGTTTTTGTCTATCCATTTATCACAATTTCACTACGGTTCAATGCAGGGATGCATGGGATATGGCTGCTGAAATTTGCCTCTCGCAGCTTCCATCTATGGTCGAGGACCCCAATGCGGAATTCCAGGTGTGTTTCATTGGTTTTCTTGGTACTATGTTACACTGAAATGTAATGAAATTGCTTTTGGCATAATTATCATATGCTTTTGTTAGACTACTATCGTTTTTATTTTACTTGTTAATGTTATTACCTGTTGTCCATCCAAGGCATAAAAATTTATCATGTCTAAGCAACATGTTATTTTTTTCAGCCGAGTCCTTTTTTTACTGAACAACTGACGGCTTTTGAGGTGTGGTTGGACCATGGCTCTGAACATAAGAAGCCACCTGAGCAGTTACCTATTGTTCTTCAGGTGTGTGACGCCTAGCCCATGTTAGTTTCCAGAAAATCATAAGTGGCTTTCCCTAAAGTTTGTAATTATGAAAATTAAACTTGTAAAATGCTTTTATATTAGGTTTGATTTTATCCACATTTGTGCCTGTCTTAGCTGAAGTCTATTCTTTTATTCTGTTTCTTAGTCATTAACATTTTATATGATGACATCTCTTACTTATTTGTCTACAGGTTCTGCTTAGTCAAAGCCATCGTTTCCGGGCACTGGTCCTTCTGGGGAGATTCCTTGATATGGGACTTTGGGCAGTAGATCTGGTACTTGCTGTTGAATTCTTTGGTGCTAGTGATTTTTCTTTTTTGAACAAAGGCGCATTGGTTGGAATTTTATTATTACGAAGTTATTTAACGGGTTTGGTTTTTCTAGGCTTTATCTGTTGGAATATTTCCATATGTTTTGAAGCTGTTGCAAACAACAACACCAGAACTAAGGCAAATTCTTGTATTCATATGGACAAAAATTCTAGCACTTGATAAGGTAAATTTTTAACTTCAGCTTTTTGACAAATTCATTGCATGTACGTTGGCATATGAGACAACATTTTGAATGTTCTTGGTCTCTTGTGGAGTTATTGGAGTATAATATTCTTTACTTGCATTATATATATTGTAAAACTGGTTAGCATAAGTTGAAAGGCGGCAAATGATCATTTCCAGTGATGCACATAATTATCAAAGGTATACTAGCTACCAAGAAACTTTAAAATACATAGGGTTTTTGCCTTTGGGGCATTATTGCTAAAACGATGTTTTCAATTGATACAAGATGTAATAATATTGATGTCCCTAAAATACATCTTGCATTGCTAAAATGATGTTTTCCCAACCCATAAAGAGTACAAAAGTGATATTATTGCTCAAAGAATTGCTTAGGCTGGCAATTTTACCACTATAAGAAATTATATTTCATGAGCCTTTGTCTTGAAATCTTCTTGTGGCTATTATTCTTTTTTCAAAAACTTTACCTTGTAAATCTTACCCCCGTCTTACCCTCTACTCTAATCATTTCTACAAAAGTACTTATGAAGTTCTGTTTTGTTGTTCTCAGTCATGCCAGGTTGACCTTGTTAAGGATGGGGGACATACATATTTTATTAGGTTTCTCGATAGCTTGGAAGCATATCCAGAACAGCGGGCAATGGCTGCATTTGTTTTGGCTGTTATTGTTGATGGGCACAGACGGGGCCAGGAAGCCTGTATTGAAGCTGATTTAATTCATGTGTGCTTGAGGCACTTACGAGGATCAGTGCCAATTGATGCACAAACTGAACCTTTGTTTCTTCAGTGGCTTTGCCTCTGCCTTGGAAAGCTGTGGGAAGATTTCACAGAGGCTCAGATGCTAGGTTTGCAGGCTGATGCCCCCGCCATATATGCTCCTCTACTGTTGCTGCCTCAACCAGAGGTCTACCTCTTAATTAGTTTGTTTTCCTTCGCAGTTCTTAGTGAGTTTGCTTATTTATTAAGCCTCTTAATACAGAAGCCATTCATTTCAGGTTAGGGCTTCTGCTGCATTTGCAGTGGCCACCTTGCTTGATGTTGGCGGTGATGTCTGCAGAGATGGTGTTCATGGAGATGATGAGTGTGATGATGATGAAAAAGTTAGAGCTGAAGTTAATATTATTAGAAGTCTATTAAGCCTTGTGTCAGATGGAAGTCCACTGGTTAGGGCGGAGGTTGCTGTAGGTATATGATAACTATCAGTTCATATTTCTGTACTTGATGGATCATTTTTCTTTCTTTTTATGAATATGCTTTCAATTACAATTATCATGCATGATTCAGCAGGGAGCGGGTTAACCTACTCTTCTCATTTTTCTGCCTCCTAATCTTGGTTTTTATCTGTTTCATGGGAAAATGTTTTTCTCTTGGCAGAAGTAAAATCTTGAGGGCTTATATATATATATATATATATATATATATATATTACATTATCCAAAGCCAGTGAGTGTACTTACAAGCCTGGATGATCCTGGGCTTCAATCCTCTTGCTTTGCTCACAGATATACTTAATGCTTATATATTCATTAACTGTTAACGTTTCGGTGCCTCCTGTATTGTTTCAATCTATTATGTAGGCAAGTTCATAAGAAAAAATTAATCAAGTTGAAAGCAATCTTTGTCATGTCAATGTTATATGTTTCTGTCCTTGAAAACACAGTGACATTTTTGCACTTGCTACTTTACAGTAAAACCTATCATGACTCTTCTCTCGAAAATCAATGATGAGTGGCACCTTTTTGCCTTGTCATGTCCACTTTATCTCTTTACCTACCCTGGGGCATGTGTAGGGGTATCGATGTATGGGGCAGTCAATTCTTTTTTGTGTTCTGTTTCATGTTTGTTTAGAGACTTATTGGGATTACAATAGTGAATCTTGAGTGAATTCAGTTTCTATTTTTTTTGTTCTGTTTCATGTTTGTTTAGTGACTTATTGGGATTACAATATTGAATCTTGAGTGAATTCAGTTGTCTTTGTTCAGCTCTGGCACGCTTTGCATTTGGCCACAAACAGCACCTCAAGTCAATGGCTGCCTCATATTGGAAACCTCAGTCTAATTCTCTGCTCAATTCATTACCTTCTTTGGTCCATGTAAAAGCTACAGGTAGCGGATACATCAACCCAAATCAGTATGTGCCACATGCAAGTATTGTTTCATCTCAAATTGGCCCTTTGACAAGAGTTGGTAGTGACAACCCATCTATGGTTCGAGATGGAAGGGCATCCACTAGTAGTCCTCTTACTACAGCTGGAATCATGCATGGATCACCTTTATCTGATGATTCATCTCAGCATTCCAATTCTGGTATATTGAATGACATTGTCAGCAATGGGGCAGCAAACCATTCAAGGCCAAAGCCACTAGATAATGAATTATATTCCCAGTGTGTACTAGCTATGTGCACTTTGGCCAAGGATCCTTCTCCACGCATAGCAAGCCTTGGTCGAAGTGTACTGTCTATTATTGGGATTGAGCAAGTGGTGACAAAATCTGTAAATTCTGCTGGTAGTAGTGGACGCCCTGGCGATCCAAAAACTTCATCTCCATATCCAAGTGTTGGTGGGATGGCTCGTTCATCATCTTGGTTTGACATGAATGCAGGTAACTCTTTTCTTTAAATCTTTTTACTGTTACTGTGCTGTATCACTATAAGCAATTGATTTCGTCATCTTAATCATTTGCACCTTCAGCTTTTGATCTTCTATAATCTTTGCTTTTGGAATTTTTCAACAGGTCATCTACCATTCAGAACTCCTCCTGTCAGCCCTCCTAGACCAAGTTACGTAACAGGAATGCGTAGAGTGTGTTCTTTGGATTTCAGGCCACACCTTATGAATTTTCCAGATTCAGGATTAGCAGATCCTCTTCTGGGTTCTGTTTCATCTTCTGGAGGCACAGAACGCAGTTTACTTCCTCAGTCAACCATCTACAAATGGAGTTGTGGTCACTTCTCAAAGCCACTTCTCACTGTGCCAGATGATACTGAAGAAATTTTAGCTAGAAGAGAAGAGAGGGAAAAATTTGCACTGGAGCACATTGCAACGTGCCAGCACTCCTGTGGGCCTTTCTATTTGTTTTCTCATCTATTATTTATTTATTTTTGTTTTAATTTTTGCTTGAGCTGATGAAATTTTCATTTTCCTGGTCAGCTGTTAGCAACCTTAAAAATAGAATTGCTAATTTGGATACGAAGTTTGAAACTGGTACAAAGACAGCCTTGCTGCAGCCTTTCTCCCCAATTGTGGTTGCTGCTGATGAGAATGAACGGATTAGGCAAGCCAGTCTCTTGTCAATAATTCTTTAATATAATGTTATTTTAACATGGGTATATCAGTATGACATGCCAAGTTTGGTCATATATTTACCGCATAGTTTGATGCCATGATTTAAATAGTTGGAAAACTTTCATGCATTACTCAGATTCATCTTTAGTCCTTTTTACTCTGTTACCTTTTCCATCTAGTAAGAAAAATTCAGCATGTGTACTCCTAAATTCTGTTGGGGGACAACAGGAAGACTTTGGGTAATCACTAAAAGGTGGAGTATGGGTTTTGTTTGTTTTTGTTTTTCCTTGGTGAATTGTGATAGGCAGGTGTTTTTCATCTTATCTCTGGTATTGGTCTTTGAGGTGTGTGATGCTTGTTTCTTTGTAGGGTATGGAATTATGAGGAAGGTAACCTTCTCAATGGGTTTGATAATCATGATTTTCCAAACAAGGGAATTTCTAAGCTCTGTCTTGTAAACGAGCTTGATGACAGTTTGCTTCTTGTTGCTTCATGTAATGATTTTTACGATCAGAAATTCATTTCATGGTGGCTACAATGGTCTGATATTCGAGTGCCTGGAATCATTTTGCTGTGCTTGTTTTTGCTGTAGGTGATGGAAATATACGGATTTGGAAAGACTACACTGTGTATGGTAAGCAAAAGCTTGTCACTGCATTTTCTTCAATCCAAGGTCATAAACCCTGTGTGGGGAGTTTGAATGCTGTTGTGGACTGGCAACAACAATCAGGATATCTGGTATATACTCACTCTTAAGATTATCTTTAGGTAATGTTTTCACACTCATAACTTGATGCTCATAATAGTTTCATCAATTTTAATGTTGCATCACTAGTATGCTTCTAGTGGGATATCATCCATCATGCTGTGGGACCTGGATAAAGAGCAGCTTATTCATTCCATTCCTTCGTCTTCAGATTGCAGCGTCTCAGCAATGGTGAGTTCTGTTTCCTGGGGTTTTGAAAAGTAGTACCATTCTTTTGCTACTGTGATAATAGCAGACCAAAGTTATTAGCGAGAGTTGCAAATGTAAAATGTTGTGTGGTTTTGAAAGAGATCCTTTTGTTCTTTTGTTTATGGTGTGCCTGTGGATGCGGGAATGATTTAGGTGTGTGTGAAAGGAGAATGATAGAGCTTCTGACAGCATGAATATATTTCATTCACAAATGGAAAATGGGTTACTTAGTTTTTGGTGTTGTCATGGCGTTTTGTACTTCCTCATTTCCCTCACTTTCTGATTATTTACTGTTTAGTTGTTTGATTGGGCAGGTACTCACATAACACTACAGCCGGCATTGCAGTCTAATAACACTTAAGAAAAAAGTTATCATGCATGTTCCTATTATGCTGATATGTGATTGTCTCATGGGGCTTTAACAAATGCCTTTTGTGTCATTTCTGACAACGATGGTTGCTGGAGACAGTAAATGGTGTCTTGCAGTGTGTTTGCTATTGTGGTGCAGGGTGTTCTTTAATTAAAAAATGCATCAAAATTATGTTTTTTAAGATTTTTTTTTTTAATTTTTGACATTGCACATCAAAACCATCTAAAAACACCTAAAAAATCATCAATTTGATGGCCCTTTTAAGATGAAAAGTAATTTGAAAAGCAGGTTGTAAGGCAAAACAATCACTTACCATCAACCATTGTTGATTTTCAACTATTAACTATTCATGCCTGAGATTTTTCCCCGACCTGTAGAATATAAAGAAATCTTGCCAAGGTTTGTAGAAAACTGTCAAAACAATCACTTACCATCAACCATTGTTGATTTTCAACTATTAACTATTCATGCCTGAGATTTTTCCCCGACCTGTAGAATATAAAGAAATCTTGCCAAGGTTTGTAGAAAACTGTTTCTGACTGGATGAAACTGAGCCTTTTATCCTAACTAGCTGCAGCTGGCTCCATGGATCTTGTTTCCTAGAATATTTCTTTTCAACTTTCCTCCCATTTACTTGGGCATTCGAATGCGCAATACCTATACTCCATCTTACCGATCTTTCGTCTATTTCTGGAATTTCTGAGGTTGTGAGAGTATATTGTTTTAGTTTTACGAAAAAGCATTGTTCTTAGAATGCCACATAAATTTATATTTAACCCTGCCTCTGCTTTCATCCATTATAATTATATAATTTGTAATAATAGAAGATATGGTATGCCATCTTGAATATGGACGATCAATTCCTCCATGGTGAAAGCAAAATGACAGGCCAGGTGTTATACTCTTGGTATAAGCCAACCATACTGGAGAAACAGTTCACCTCCCTCCCAGTAGTTTTCATCGCTGTAGTTGTCCTTCATACTTTCACTCTTGTTTTCCTGCTCTACAATAGGACTGTTGTCCTTTATCTAGAGTGATAGAAGCTTTGTGGAGGTTTCATTTCTTCTCTTTGTATCTGTATCAATCTCATTGGGAATAGGGTAGCCTTTATAGTTGCCTGGCATAAAAGTGAATTGGTTCTCTTGGGACTACATCTTTCAATAGCACCTTCAAATTGAATTCCTATGGATACCAAAATTCTCTTGGGATTATGTTTGTTTTAGAACAATCTTGTCCCAATTTAAGGATGCTCATAATTTTGTGTACTATTGTTTAGAGCGTCTGTCTTCAAGAATCTTTTATTTCATTTCTACTTAGGAATTTGTATAATATCTGCTGTTATTATTGGTAACTTGTCTATCATGTTGAAAGATCTTCTTTTATGTTTATCTGTGCAGTCTGCTTCTGAAGTTCATGGAGGTCAATTTGCTGCTGGTTTTGTGGATGGATCTGTCAAACTCTATGATGTCCGGATACGTGAAATGTAAGCTCTGCTTGTAAATTGTCCCTCTGGTAATGTTTACAGGTTTTTAACAATATTGATATCCTTGTATACTGTTGCTGCCTTTTACATGATACTGATTCTAAATACATATATGCTGGTTTCTGATGTTTTCCAGTGAGATGTTTTGGGGTTGTACATGGATGAAATGTGTTTGGGATTTTATTGTAACCCAATGCTAGGGGTCCTAAAACTTCTTACAAAATTTTAATTACTAAATAATGTGGCATTTGTGATAGGGAAAGTTTTTTCAAATAATGGAGTACATTTAATGACATGATCACTTGATGAAATTACAAATAAAAACCTAGTCACGAGCTGCTACACCATTTAATTAAAGTTTAAGTATCTTTAGCATAGTTGGTTATGATGAACTATGTATCAAAAGATGTTGCACTTTGCGTTCCTTTCTGCTGAACTGTTGTGCTCTCTTAATGCTAGGCTTGTTTGTGCTAGTCGGCCACACACTGAGAATGTAGTAAAAGTTGTGGGGATTGGCTTTCAACCTGGGCTTGATCCTGGAAAGGTAACCAGTGCACTTTTCGATACTGGTGGTGGATTTGCATCTCACCATGCATGAGCTTCTTTTCTCTTGTTTTCTTTCAGATTGTCAGTGCATCTCAGGCTGGTGACATGAAGTTCCTGGATATGAGAAATCTTATGGATCCCTATCTCACGATCAAGGCCCACAGGGGCTCACTCACAGCTTTATCTGTTCATAGGCATGCCCCTATTATTGCCAGCGGATCAGCAAAACAAATTATTAAATTATTCAGTCTAAATGGTGAGCAATTAGACTCCATTACATACCACCTAACCATCATGGGCCAGAAGATCAGTCCTGTAAGCTGCCTCACCTTCCATCCTTACCAAGTGCTCCTTGCTGCTGGTGCTACTGATGCTCTATTCTCAATCTATGCCGATGACAACACTCAAGCAAGATGAAAGCATATTTTCTTTTACCAGTCGACTAAGTTGTCATTTTGGCAGCGGCTGCAGCAGAAGCACACAATGTGATGAGCTACCACGCCAACACCTCTATGCAGAAACATTGATTTGGAATCCTGAATCTTGTGCAACATATTTCATTAGCCTCCCGTGCTGAGGGTGTGAAGTCCTGCATATTGCAGGAGGGTCCTAGGGCTTTGGCAAATAATTTTTCTATGGGTATGGGTATGGCCATATGGGCAAAATGTGTGTAAATAGCTTCTTTCCTCGGCTCATCTTCTTTTCCTTTTGGTGTGCTCATTGATCCTTCCATCCCTTTGTTCATTTGTAAAAGCAGCACTCCTTGTCTTTACATAATTCAGAGCGTTGCAAACAGAGGTTGCTAATCTGGTTATCATCCCCTGAAACGCAGGGGTTTAACTTGCTCACGTCTTTGTATTTTATTAGAGGTTTATGTTTCGATAGTCTTTTGTTAACCATTGTATAACCTGTAATTAATTTATCGAGCTTGCCCCATGTAATCCCTCGCCTTCGCCGCTTTCCTCCTCCCCTTTCAAAGTTCTCAGTGGTTGTAATTACACAATGACATAGAAGCATCCAGCCATTTGCCAGACAAATAGTGATGTTGTTATTGACATGTTACACACGGGAATTAAATCTTTTCTTGCAACTTGACCTTGAAATGAGCAGAGGTTGGTAAATTGGGGAAATGGATTGGTGGTAGACTGCGAGGAGATTAGAGATTCGATTTTTCAACACATCAACGTCCTATTAGAATGTCTGTGCCAGAAGTATCCTTGTGATCACACCACTGAAGCTTCTTCGACAGCTATATAGCACACAACGGAGGAGATTTCGACAAATAAATTGGGAAGACAGGCTGAAGTGATGAAGCCAGATTTAGGAATAATGGTAGAAATTATCTTTTGTTTAAAAATATATTAAAATATCCAGAACACAATAAATATTAATTTAAAATAAAAAATAACTTAAAATCTTTGAAAAACACGATGAAACCACACCTTCGTTGACGACTCACTTTCCAAAATTCATGTTATAGTAGCTCAAACCACTAAAACTCACTTCAATTTCATATATCGAGAAAAATCATAGATAAGTATTGAGACAAGCAAACAAAGCTACACAATAGTTGGATTTACAACCAATCAATGGGAGCGCAAATCTATAATTGCTTCTTTCTAAAGAACCTTCTTAGCTACATCTAAAGAACTTTCTTAAGACACTCCAAACTGAGAGATTCACCAGCGTTAGACATATTCACAAAAAATATAAATTTAGTTTGAGTATGCCTAAATCACTAGCTTTTCACTTCCTTCCACCCACCATACTTTGGCCAGAAGATCCTGATAAGCTTGGCGGTGTGCTACCATTCATTTTAAACCTTCCATCAGAATTTCCCAGAACATTCAGATCATCAAACAACTTGTAAGAGGGAACAAAGGACTGCTTTTGTCCTGGAGGTGCAGGTACCCTAGAAGCAGAACTTGAATCACCATTAATAATTGATCCATTGCCTGCTCTTGTGGGAAGGGAATTAAATTGCTGCATAGGTCTAGCTGCTTGCATGGGAGTATAAGACGCACTTGAGTTGGATCGGGGGGATGAAAACATGTTATTTGTAGTAGATGTGTGATTTTGGTTGTTGAGATATCCAGGTGTAGATGCCCAGGGTGGAGGTGGGTAGACAGATGAGTATTGAGGATGTTGTGGCTGCAACTGTGGCTGGAACTGAGGTTGTAATTGTGGTTGGGACTGATGCTGCAAACGCTGCTGAGGCTGAGGCACTGATTGCTGCTGGGGTTCAGGTCGCAACTGTGGCTGGAACTGAGGTTGCAATTGCGGTTTAGATTGATGCTGCAAATGCTGCTGAGGCTGAGGCGTTGATTGCTGTTGGGCTTCAGGTTGCAGCTGTTGCTGCGGTTGTGATGGAGGACGTAAATGTTGGTAAGAGTGAGGCTGTAACTGGGTTTGAGATGGAGATTGTAATTGGTGCTGCTGAGTTTGAGGTTGGGCCCATGGAACGACATAGCTGTTGTATGGAACAGGCCCTTGGTTTACAGGATAAGTTTGAGAAACATAGGGATAACCTTGTGTGCTGGAGGAAGGAGGTATCTGAGGCATGGGCTGGTTGGAGACTGGTGGGGTGGGAGGAGAGGTTGATGTTGTTGACAAGGCAAGGCTCAAAAAGTCAATCATATCCTGATCTTTCATGGCTTTAACTGGTGGAGATGGATCAGCAAGTGCCAGAGAATTGCACGGGGAAGAGGTTGATGCAGTGGGCATGCCAGCATCCAATGGCACAAGAGCTCCATTTGTTCCACCTGAGCTTTGAGATGAACCGGACTGTGTTTTGGAATGCCTGTGTTCACGGTACAAAACGTGAGCAAATATAAATCAAAACATCGGTAAAACCCACGATGCAGAACATGAACAAAGGAAATGGATCAGTAATCTGTAAGATCTCCATAAAGGTTGGCCAGCTACCAATTTAAAATAAACTGAGCAGTCTTTTATCCAGCAATCAGTGCTCTAGTGCCTCATCATGCTGGCCACCAGTAATGGTAAATGTTTTATTTCCCACCTAGTGATTGCCTTATGATGGGTTCCATAGTGATGGAACCGCAATACCCCACATACATGTAATGTGCTAATAATAGTTCACATCACCCAAGAAGAAATTATATAAGATTATTTTCATAAGCATGAGTACCTGCGTGCAAGCTTTGCAAAGTCATCCTCTTCATCCTCTTCATCTACTGCACTCCTTGTCATATTAGCAACTGGCATGACAGAATTAGCCATAGATCTTGGGCTGGCATCTCTTGCTTCAGTTGGTTTGATGTCAGAGGAACATCCTTCACTTGATTTGGGGCTTAAACTTGTTACTTGAGTTGGCATAGGAGAGCCAGAAGCAATAGCATCATGTTTTGCAAGCAAGATTTGCATACTGTCATTTAGTTCAAGACCCTTACCAAGAAGTTCCTCATCCCTGTATCACAACCAAGACACTTTTAAGATATTCATGCGCCAGACTTGCATGGGATCAACATGCATGTGCATGGAGAAAATAAGACAAGCATATAGCTAACTATCTTGTATCAAGAACATGTTTTCAGCAAAATTGAAATTTAAACAGTGACTGACCCAGTTGTAGTTAGCATCTGCATCAACTTTTTCTGGTTGGATCGACACTGGTTGACAAGATCCACTATAACTTCATCTTTTACAGCCTGAAAAACAAGCAGGACCACATCTCAAATATTGTACTCCCTTGTTTCCCTAAAAGGTCAAAAGCTGACCGCACGTACCTCACGGTCTCTAGGGTTAACAGCTTGAAGCATATCACTCAAGAGCTCCATAACATCCCGCATGGAATCCAGGCTTGACACGCTATGATAATTAAGAAAAATATCAGTAAATACAAAATATGAGATTTGGGAATTTTGAGAATACACCAGACATAGACAAAGTGCAAACCAGCCATCGATCCTTACCTTAAGCCTTCAATCTCCGCAGCCATTGTTTCATCGAGTCTACTAGAAGAATTGCTAGGCATTCCATAACCAGGTTGGGCATGCCTCAATGTTGGATTGGTCGCAGGTGGTGTGAATATTGGAGCTGCATTTGATGAACGCTGGGGAAATTGAACTCCTGCACGCTGCCATTCACACACCCCATAACTAAAAATTAATTCTTCTGTATATATTCCATGTAATATTGGCATAATTTGTTGTTTAACTACTACGAAAGAAAAAACTTATGATATGGCTGCAAGAGCATACGAACAATATTTCCTCCATAGGATTTGGCTTGTATCTTGTTTGATTATACTCTTCCATAGCATCATTTGATTGCACTCTTATTATGAATCATGCATTAGTTTTAACATTGATCAAATCAAGAGCACATCTTTCCAGCATTCAAAAATTGACCGTTCACTGCAATATTTGGCTGGATCCAAACCTAGGAATTATCTTCAGATCTGGGACTAATCAGCCCAACATTCAGTAATTACAGTCCCACTTCCGAAGTCAACTAAAAAAAAATAAATTTCATGCATGGCACACATACTGAACCCAGCAAGAGTAGATCAAATAAATACCAACCCTTAATTCCTCGTATGCCCAATAATATTGAGAGTGTTTTCCTCCAGGCCCGCCAAATGCCTCTTGCCAAGAATCAATCAAAGCCAGAATCTTATCTCTCACATGCATATCTGTCTGCACATCCCATTAAAATGTGTTAAATTAAGATCAAAGCTTCCCCATCCCAGCCCCCTTTTAGTTTTTTGAAGAAAACGTAAGAGGGTGATTAGATGAGAAAAAAAAAAATACAAAAATCAAGGTTTCTACTTTCACATGCAAAATCAACTATGTTCGTCTTATTTGATACCAATGGAGGCCTAAGGCAAAGTAATTGGGAAATTTAACATCAAAACCACTATGATTTCTTATGGAAAAGGCACCAAGAAGTGCAATCATATTATATTTTATCTGTTATCCTAGTTCAGATGGGCCAAAACTACTGCTTACTATCCTACTCACATAAATCAGATGGCCATTCCTCCTGAACCATTTTTGCTGGCCTAGTTACAAGGTTTGCGGAGAACGACCCTTATTGGAATCTCCATAGAACACACAGCATAACAATGTATCAACTGCAACGCAAACAGTTCCATCTCTTTACTGTATATGCAGAACTCTATTTCACTACCAGATAATTCTGCTAACATTTTATCTTTTCCATTTCTGGAGCTCAATATTAACATCTTCTCGAAACAGAATGGCTGCAAGGTTACAACTACAAGAGGACTCTGAATGGCAACCATCTATAGTGTGATATCTAACACTTGAACTGGTCTCTGATGGTTAAAAGGCCAACAAAAGAATTTCTAAAAGATCTTAAAATGAATACATATTAGAATAGAAAACTTGCAAGTCATGAAGGAATAATTCTAGCAAGAAAATCAAGGAGTTACCTTCTTCTTTACGATTTTCACCATTTCCCCCAATATATTCCTTTCAGCAATTTGAAAATGGACATAATCACCACAGTTCTTCACCATTGTCTCCAAAAGCTACAAAGTAAATTTTGCACTCAATTAATCAACTCCAAAAACACCAAAAAAGAAAATTAACTTTATAAACAACAGCTTCCACGAATCCCAAATACATAATTCAAATGCATGTAGTGGTGCAAAAATAATAATAATAAAAAATCTCACACAAAAGCTCCAAGTGTTCAAATTCAAAAAACTGTAATGGAAATGAAAAATTAAGGAAAAAAATAGAAAAATTACTAAATTCAAGAAAAAATAAAGTACCGTCAAAGCAAGTAGTTGGACTCTAGGGCTCTTGTGCTGCAACCTTTTTTTCAAAGCTTTCACTACATCCTTGGCTTGCCTGATCAAAAAAAAAAAAAAATCATCAACCAACACTACATGCTAATATCACAAAACTTTCACTCCACCCTTGGCTTGCCTGATAAAAAAAAAAAAAAAATCATCAACCAACACTACATGCTAATATCACAAAACCCACTTTAAAAAAAAGAGCAACTCCCTGTAAAAACTAATCTTTATTTCACATAAAATTCAAAGTTTTTTCAAAGAAAAAAAACAAAAAATTTACTTTGATCGTAACTGACAAATAACAAAGAATTAAGCTTTCAATTTCAGCTACAAAACCAAAAAGAATTACAGAAACAGAATCTGCAACACATACATACGTATACAAGTACAAAGAATACATAAAACCTACCTGTTATCAAAATTTGAAAAAGAAAACGTAAAATTCTCAGCAAGAACATCAAAGTCAACACCAAAACTTGAAAAAGAAAAGATGGGCTATAAAGAAAAAAAGAAAAGAAATTACCAGTAATTAGAATTAACAGAATCACAGATATCAATATTCATAGTCCAATCAGGACCGATTAAAAGATCGCTTGTTGCTTTATCAACCGCTACAGTTGCCGAAGAAGATGAACCCAAACCCAAACCCATCCCCATAGCACGAGCCATCAATCTCTCTCCTTTTCTCTTTCTCGCTTCCTTTTCTCGTGTTTTGTGGGTTGTGTTTGTTTGACAAGAAAATTGAAGGCGACTGTGATTATGATATGATGATGAAGATAAATAATAAAAAGCAAGAAAGAAGTCTTATAAGTATATCTCTCTGCCTTTCTTTCTCTCTCTCTTTTTCATAATAATATTATTATATATTTTGTTTGGCAGAAAAGAATAAAAAGAAAGGAAAATTAAGGTGAGTTTCCTGTAATTTTCTTGGATTTTTAGTTTTCTTACTGATCTTGGGTCAGCTCACCTCTCCTTGATTTTTCTTTGCATTTGTTTCACTCTGACTTGCTGTTTTTTTCTCTTCCCCCCTTTTCCCAGCTATTCTCTCCCCGGAAATTTCGTTTTTCTTTCTTTCTTTTTATATATAATCTGATTAATAAGGGGTTGTTGAACGTGTGAGGTGATTGTTTTTTTAAAAAATTATTTTTAATATTAATATATTATAAAAAATATTATTTTTAAATAAAAATAATTCAGATTTTGGTAAAACTCCAATGCAAATGCAGTTTCAAACGGGGTTTAAAGATGTGTTTGAGAATTGAGAGTGTAGGCGAACCGTGCTTTCAGAATGTTTTTGTTGTAAGTTAATATTTTTGGTTTTTTTAATTATTTTGATGTCGCAATGTTAAAATAAATTTTAAAAAATAAAAAATATTATTTTAATATATTATAAAATCATAAAAAGAATCATAAAAAATACATTAATTTAGATAAAAGTAATTTTAAATAAGTATTTTCAACTTTACCATCAAATACACAGTAAAAATTACATGGGCTTGGAAATAAGAATGGAAGAGTGAGAATCTTTTCCTTTTATGTGCACAGAAAATCTTTTCTTTTTCTTTTTATGCCCTTTTTGAGTTCTTTTTATAATTTTATTCGGATAATTGGAAGGCAGGAGGCTAGAGAGAGAGAGAGAGGAAGGGTGGCTGTGACGAAGGAAGGGTGGCTGTGACGAGTCAATAAATAAAAGGTCATGGTAGATTGGACAAAAAAGAGTATTAAAGGTCTCAATCAAGGTCGGCTCTGCGAATATGTTAAGATATTGGATGGCCCAAAACTTTCTTAAAATTATTTATTTAGATTGCATATTGCCAATTTCTTTTGTTTAAGCGATAGACATAGGACTCATCATCTTGGCTGTTTCCTAGTTGTTGAATTTTATTGTTTATGACAATCAATGCCGAATTCTAAATTTTGTCTCTCTTCAGCCATACTCTATGCACACGCGCACACGCACATATATATATAAGATAATATTTTAAATTGTTATGTAAATTTTTTTAAAGTATTTTTTACTTTAAAAAATATCAAAATAACATTTTTAATTTTTTTTTAAATTAATGTATTGAAATGATTTAAAAACATAAAAAAATTAATTTAAAATAAAATCAAAATTTAAAATTTTTCAATAGTATTTTTTAATTACAAAAACAAATACACTTTAAATATTATAAAATTTGACACGCAGTTTGGAATAGTTAATTCATTTTTATACACAACTTATATTTGCTTAACACTATTTTATTAGTAATGGCCCCCACTCCAAGCTTTAGCAAATTCGTTTTGGAGTGAATATAATGATTTCCTAAGTTATCCTGAAATTATAAATTTTATTCAAATTTGAAAATCAGTAAAAAACCACCTTTACGTTTTACAAAATACTATAAGAATTCTTTTTGTGCTTAAAATATCTTTAATTATTTTTAAGTAAAAGATAGTTAAAAAGTTAATTATATATTTTTTAATTAAAATATATTTAATTACTTTTAAAAAATAGATTAAATTATAACTTCACTATATGGATCAATTTTAATTTGAGTTTTTGTTGGTATTATTTTTTTATTTTTTCTTAAAATAAAAATATCTTAGGAAAGTTTGGGGAATAAGATTTTTCTAAATATTTTCTCAATTATAAAGGAAATTCTATCACATACTTTTAAATAGTTCTTATTCTTCACATATCTCATGGGGTTATTATAATTTAATCTTCTCTTGTTATAATTTAGGGGGCTAAGTTTAAATCCAATTTCTATTAGTTTATTTATAATTAAAACTTTTGAACTTCAATTCAATGATAATTATTGAACCTAACTAGTCAAATATGGTTTGAGCTGATTTTTTTTTAAAAAACATAGAAGGCAACTTAGTCAAACTTGAAGAATCTAGTCATCCCAATCAAAACTCTATTTTTAACTTTTTATTATTTTTTAAAATGATATTATTTTAATACACTCATTGAAAGGCAAATGAACATGATATATGACCTTTTTCTCCCTTATAGTTCTTAGTGTTCAGATGATGCTAAGTTACAAGTTGAGGCCATTAATTTCTTTATATCTCCTTTTAATTTTGATGATGCATACTTAAGCTTTGGATGGGATTGAAGTTCCTAAGCTTTGTAATTTTAGAGTGGCCGAATTGATGAAACCGGTTACTAAAGATGAAGTGTTTATAGCTTTCTCTAGTATGGAGCCTTTTAAAGCTCCGGGTATGGATTGTTTCCAACCTTTCTTCTTTAAAACTTATTTGGATGCAGTGGGAGAAGACATCTGAAGGTTATTCCAAATCACTTTTAAGTAAGGCAATTTTAGCAGAAAGATTTTAGAAATGCTTATGGTTTTGATTTCAAAATAGAAGAATCATTCCAACTTCAAGTGATTCGGCCTATAAGCTTATGAAATGTTATTTATAAGCTTATTACCAACGTTCTAGTAAATAGACTATGGTTTTATCTTGATCTTATTGGCTCTCTTTAGAGCAACTTTATAATAGGTCGCAGTACTATTGATAATGTTTTAATTGCTTAGGAAGTCTTGCATCATATGCATAGGACTAAAAGTAGATATGGGATCTTGGTAGCTAAAATTGATCTTGAGAAGGCACATGATAGGATTAATTGAGATTTTCTAAAATCCACCCTAGAAGACTTTGGACTCTCGACAGGTACTATAAAGTTGATTATGTTTTGTGTTCAGTCTTTTTAGTTTCTCTCCTTTGAGATTTATAGATTGGAAAGGAAAACTTACTTGTAAGAATTTACTTTCTTATTTCTGAATCAATTACTTCAGTGCCACTTTAATTACTAGAACCAAACTGATATTTCATAATACAAACATCTTTGTAAATCTTGTCAGGTTAATGCAGAGAGTTAAGATGGGAGAAGAGAAAGAGATAATTATGTTTTTTCAATAATAAAAACTTGTCTTCTTTCATATGGGTTATGTCCCTTTATATATGATTCAAGGAGGCGATTAATTTTTTTAGTAACTCTTCTAATAACTTGGACCAAGTCTATCCATCATGGGCGAACCAGACCTAACCCAATAACCAATATCTCTCGCTTGCCCATGAAGGACTGAATCTCTCTAATACATTATACTTCAAACTTGTATAAGAATTTCATATTTAGCGAACAGATCGTTTGACCTGAAGCACACAGTGTAAGGAACTCCAATATATAAACCTAATACAGGTTATATAGGAGGTATCAATCTCATAATTAATTATTTCTTAAAGTGTATTAATTTACCCCTAGCATTTTTAGTTACATTTGACTGAATACAATTCAATCCCTCAAGAATTTCATACTCAATCCATCCTTATAATTACAAGTATTCTAAATCATATCAAATCTATTCAAGTGACATGATCCCGACCAGTGAATATAAATATCAAGTGTAGAGCTAAAATTACCTTTTCTTTCACTCTCATATCAATTAAATCTGAATTAATTAGCTTTCCTAAGAGTATTCCTTTAATTTGAATCATTTCATGACCATAGGATATACTCCTAAAGTAATGATCATTAATACATTACCTCATGATATGGTTAAAAGTCACAAAGGGTAAGATTTTAAGATCTCAGATATGATCTCTAGGACTCATATAATAAAGAAGTAGGGACTTATTATTTATTCCTCTAATGGTCGCTAGTACATGTAGTATGAAATACATACTATAGTAGAGTTTACTTTTTTTTTTTCTTAAGACAAAGAGTGTATGTCATTGTTCTCATTGTTAGAGAAAATACACTATATGAGTTTTAGTCTTGTTGCTAAAAACATAGATTTCAAATAAAAAATTCTCATTTGCTTATATTTCATTAGTGGCAGATGAATAATTTCATGCTCGGCTTCAATCATAATAGACATATAAATAGTGAGAACTTATTCATGTAAATTCTTTTATTTAATAACCTTATCTTGGTCCCAGCGAATGTGACTTTTTAATAATCATTTTGAGTTAAAATTGCTCCCACTACACCTAAGTCACTTATTGAGCATTAAAACTCAAATAGCCTCATCTCTACTGACATTACAAGTGCTAGAGGTGATTGCTTATGTGAGTGAGCTAATCTAAGTTTATCGACATACTTCAAAAAATTATACTATACGATACTCAATATAATCCATGAAACAAATAATGAATAAAATGATATTCTAATGACATTTATTCATTACTCTATTACTATAAGCTTTTGTATGATTCTTAAAACTAATCATATTATTAATTATATTCTACATAAGCCAAGGGATCTCACATGTCTAACAAATGTATCCTTATTGGTTTTGTGAGTGGATCTATAACCATAGAATTTATAGAAATGTGTTTTTGGATCACATCTTGTTCAGTAATTACTTCTCTAACTTATCTTGATGTGTTTGGTCTTTCCATGATATTTTGGATCTTTAGGCACAACTATTGCAACAATGTTATCACAGTAAATTGTCACTGGGTCTGATGCTGATTTGACAATTTTTAAATGATATAGGAAATTTTTTAACCAAATAACATCTTGTATTACTGTAGAACAAGCTACATACTTAGCCTCCATTGTAGATAAGGCTATGCAGGATTGTTTCTTGCTCCTCCATAGTATTGCACTATCATTAAGCAAGAAAACACATCCTGAAGTTGATTTGGATTGGTCGACATCTCCTCTCCAATGAGCATTGAAAAAACCAATCAATCATAAGTCTTTCTTTCCTTGGTAACATAGCATATAATTTAAAGTTCCTTTCAGATATTGTAGAATCCTTTTGACTATCATCTAGTGTTTCTGACCAGGGTTTGATTGATATCGGCTAATCAATCCAACGGCATAACATATATCGTGATG